ATTAAAATATACCTTGAACTTTGCTAGAAGAATATATATACCCCTAAATAATTTTTAAGAAAATTAAAAGTCAAAAATATAAATTTAAAACTAACTTTTTCACTTCCGTTAAATGAAGGGTATATGTGAGCTCATTTTGTAACGGTAGGGGTATATGTGAGCCGTTTGTATAACGGTAAGGGTATATATGAGCCACTTTCATAACGAGGGGCATATCAGCTCCAAATGACAAAGTTGAGGGGTATATCAGGCCCTTTTCCCATATTAAAATCAAACTAATCATGTCACGTAGATGCGATTATTCTTTACCGTTGTGGCATACACCATAATATTTTTCAGTCGAAATGTCAATATTTAAAGAAGTGAATAACACGATGAGTGATACAAGAAAAACCAAATTACAAAAAGAAATAGCTAGAAAGAAAACATATTACTTTATTTAGGCATAATACATAAATATGCTTTTTAACTTGACTTTAGCTGATATTTATGACTTCTAATGTTGGGTGTATACAACTAGATACTTATACTTATATAGAATTAAACAAGTAGACACACACGTCTTATGCGAAATAATACACGTAGAACATATGTAGAAAACTCCGTGGGAAGAATGTGTTTATTTGTTTAATTTTATATAAATTTAAGTATTTACTTTTGCACACATCACACTCAAAGTTGAAAGGTATAGATGTCAGTTGAAATCAAGTTACACATTTATATATGATGTCCATTATTTATTGATACTATAGTAGGATAGTGTGACTAAAAATGATAACTTTGTTTCTTAAATAAGAAGTTATGTTAATGTTTGTAGTGCATTTGAAGAATAAATAAGAAGTAATGTTAATGTTTGTAGTGCATTTGAAGAAGAAAAGTACTTATTTTTCAAAACTGTTTTTCTTTCTTCTATTTTTATTTTCAAATCTGATGCCAATTCAAATACTCTGCATCACGTAAAGAATAAAGAAATTAAAAGTTTGAAGTTTAATTTTATTAATAGAAAATGGTCAAAATTACTTCTGAACTATGCGAAATAGAGTATTTATACCCTTTATTATATTTTGAGATAAAAAATACCTCCGTCATTATCTCAAAGACCATAAATACCCTCATTAGTTAACTATCCAAATTTTTAGTGACGTGGCAAGCCACATGGGACTAAACCCCCACCTAAGCGTTAACAAGGATTTACTTAAAAAAAACTAGACCTTTAGCAACGATAAAAGTTGCCACAAAATCCCAAAATATTGTCACTAAAGTTTTTAAGTGATTTTTAGCAGCGACTTAAGGATGCCATAGCCATTCATTAGTAAAAACTATTTTTTCAACAAAAAAAATGATAATTAATTTTCGGTTGCAACCTAATTTTTCTAAAATAAACAACATGTACTATCAATATTAAAAACATCCAATATTATTAGGAAAATCATCAAAATTACTTCTCAACTCAAATTCCCTACTACATAATGCATTATTGTACATTTTATGCATTTACACATGACATAAAAATAAAACATATAGTGTCTTCAAACTCCTATTTGATCGATATTATTTATAATTTTTCAAAAACAATGAAGAAAAAAAACACAAAATCATAATTTAATGCTCAAAATCAATGAAAATTTTAGTGGTGATACTCTGGGCTTTTGTGGCGACTTTTGTCACGGCAAAAAGTCTAGTTTTTTTTAAGTGAATCCTAGTTAGCAACACTTAGGTAGAGGGATTAAGTCCCACATGGCTAGCCACGTCATTAAATTTTTTGGCTATTAACTCTTTAGGGCATTTGTTGTCTCTTAGAATAACGGCAGGGACATTTTTTCCCCAAAATGTAACAAAGGATATAAATGGTCTGTTTCGCATAATTCAGAAACAATTTCTAACTCTTTTCCGTTTTATTAATATTGACATGTAAAGAGCCGCTACAAAATCACCACTTTATTCCAAGATCATTTAATTTATAATTGTTCTAATTAGATTCAATGCTCAAATATGTAATCTATATATAATATAAAGCCAAATGTAGGCAGGGATGATGTGACACCTCTCTAAGGCCACCATTGCTATTTATCTTTTTTCTCTATTTTTTCTTATTTTTTAATCAAAGAACTAATCATATTCTATCCTATTTATTAAGTTTCATTAAATTTTATAACAACCATATTAATTTATTATGGCACAATCGGCTTTGCCTCGCTGCATACTTTCTTTTAGTATTCCTTACATCTATTCTCTAATCACCCGAAAGCAGTGGCGAGGCGGACATTGAGCAGAAAGACTGACTTAAGACTTTATTATTCACATCTCTTTATGGCCTAGAATATTATTTATCTTTAGTCTTCCCTTCCTTTTTTTTTTTTTTCTTTATGGCCTAGAATATTATTTATCTTTAGTCTTCCCTTTTTTAAAAAAATAAAAAAAATCCTTTCATTATTTTCATTATTAATTTGTTTAATTATAAAAGTTTATATATATATATATATATATATATATTAATTATTGTATTGTAAAAGTAAATTACTTAATTTATTATAAATTTTTTTATTAATGTAGAAACATTAACATCAAAAAAACTCTCCACATTCTTTTTTCTATTTTTTGTCTCACTTCTAATCATGAAATGATAATTTTTTTATTTTAAAAAAATAATATTTTTCTCTTTATTTTTTTAATTTATTCACAAGGAGTTATTACCCATGACTTGCCCCTCTTTAATTTTTACTCTTAATAATATTCATAACTCCCATAATTTTTTGTTCATAACCTCTAAACTTAAATTTGTAAGTTTATGATGTCTTATGGTATTCCTCTATTTTCCCTATAAATTCATATTAGTTTCATGAAGACTCACATTCAAAATTATCTTTTCTCTTCTTCATCATATTTGTTTGGTTTGTAACAAAATATAAGTACATGAAAGTAAGAAATATTTCATTGCAAATTTTTATTTTTTTCATTTCCTCTATTTTGTATATATAAATTCATATTTATTTTCATGAAGATTCACATACAAAATTATAATTTCTCTTCTTCATCACATTTGTTTGTGAATTAACTGACAAGTAACAAAAAAGAAGTACATGAAGGTACGATATATTTTATTCTCAAGTCTTGCTCTTTATTTTTATGTACTTAGACATGCTTTCTTAATATTTTAATTATGTTTGTATTATCATCCATCAAGCAAGTATGATTAAAAAAAATGCCTCTGTAATTCTTAGCAATGTGTTGTCCGTGCAATTGCTCTTTCTAATAGTTAATTTTCTGGATATAATATAGTTTGATTATAATATCTGTTAGATTTCAAGAAATGATTATTATTTAGTATTGTTAGTACTATTAAAAAAAAAAAATACAAATATACTACATATAGTTTAAATTTCTTTATTTCTTTTGATATAATTATTTTTAATTGGCATATGATATTTTTTTATTCAGTTGGTCGCATATAATGAAGAGTTTGACATATGGAGCAAAATATGGTGGCGGATCTACTTGCAAAGGAAGATGGTAGAAGGAAAAAAAATGAAGTATAATTAGAGATTATTTTTGCTAGATTTTTTTTTTCACTTTGACTTGTATTAGTAACTTAGTTACTTTTGCTAGAATTTTTTAAATTTTGGGTTGTATAAATAATTTAGCTAAATGTATTGTCAACGCTAATCATTTGATCCTTTACTATTCTACTTTTTCTTTGTTATGAAGCAAAATTAATATAATTATCACATTTCAGCAACAAAAAACTATGATGATTGGGAGTTTCATTTTTATTATACTTGCAAAAAATGTAATTGAAAAATAAAATATTAGTTTCATGATGCCATTTTATTTTTTGCGTATGTAACAATCTGTTTTCGTCATCATCCTTTTTGGTTTGAAATGTATTTATAATTTTTATGCAGTCACCGATTATTTATAATTTCTTTGTTCATTTTTTTGTATTTTCACCCCTTATTTTTATTTATTTATTTTACAATAAAATCAATGCGTAATTAGTAATACATTTAATGTCTAATAAAATCATACATTTAAATTATTTTATAACTCATGTCTCTTCATCTTACTTGTAACTTCTAATATTAAATATTATTCATAACTATTGTATGTTTCATTTTTCATAATTCTTAATAATATTTAATTAATGTTTAAAAATTATAATAAACAAATGTAATAATAAAGACATAATAAAAATTTCAGTTTTGTTTTATGAAATAAGAGTTTGTATAGAAAATTAGTACTCCTACAAAAGATAGAGGAAGTTAAAACATATAAAATATTTACAACGTAATACAATATATTGTTTTTCAACATATTACCTCTTATTCCATTTACTCACCACGATGAATATTTTGTTCTACTATATACATATACAAAAAAATACATTATATTTTATATGTTTAAAAAAATTGAAAAAAACGTATGATATTGCAGATGAAGAGAAATATTAATATTATTTATATATTCGATACTAACCGAAATATAAATATTACATATTATTATCTTATAAATATTTCATATAGCCGCGCGAAGCACGAATACTTTCACTAGTTATTAATAATTCTAATATAATGAAGATATCACTAACATGGAATAGTGGCCGATTTACTATGTCTCACAAAAATTAAATAAATTGATTATATTATCAATCAAATAAGAAACATTAGAAAAACTGATTATAATAGCAACTTTACATTTTAAAGAACTTGAAGATTATATATACTTTATGAAAAGATATATATTGCTTTAATTTTTTAAAAGTCGAAAGTCTATTTAATTTTAACTTTAAGCCATTAATTTATTTGAGTAGAAATATTTTGGCCAATTTTGAAAGCAAATAAGTGTAAAAGTAACAAGCTTCTATCTTTTAGTTTGAGAAACACACTTCAATATTAATTGGATTTTGTTTTATCCACGTGACTTTTTTTTGCCGACACGTTCAAGTTATGTGTTTCATTTTTAGTTGAGATTGTTATATGTGTTAGTAATGTGTTGTCACTTTTTGCTACGATGGAATTCCAAGAATTATATATGCTACGTACATATACGTTAGTTTTTTCACAATTTCTAACAATATATCGGTAGGTGGGGGGCTGCTCACAGTTTTGTAACCTCCTCTGTGGCTGGCTGGAAATCAAAGATGACACGAGTTATTAAAGTTTTTTCACAATTTCTAACAATATATCGGTAGGTGGGGGGCTGCTCACAGTTTTGTAACCCTCCTCTGTGGCTGGCTGGAAATCAAAGATGACACGAGTTATTAAATGAGCAAAGGTAAATTGACGTTTTAAAATTAAATTGATACGATATATAGAAGCTATAATGTAAAATATGTGTATTTTTTCCAGCATGAGTTGTAACGTAGTGGTGAGACTATTCCATTTTTTTATCAGATGTCTCAAATTCGAGCTTTATATATGGAGCAAAATTTTGTTAGGAGTGTCACCTCCAAATGAGCCTTGTGGTGACAATTCAAATTTAGTCGATGCTTCCATATGAGGTCTAGACACTGAGCGAGAAATCAATAAAAAAACATATATATTTTAAATAATTGATTTTTAGAGAGTTGATTGTATACCATCTATGTCAGAATATTAAATAAAGATAATAAAATATCTACTATCTACTACTATCTTATAAATGAGAATAAGCACACACCTTGTCAATCGAACCCATGACCCCAACCAAAGCTAATATAGGCGAAATTCTGAACCCCATCAACTGTTGAGCTACTCCTTTGACATATGTTCAGGGGGTTTAATTTTAAATATATACATGTACACAAAAAAATGAGTTAATATCTCAAAAGGTCACTCAATTTTGAGAATTTATCTAGCAAAGTCATTGAACTTTGTTTTGTATCAATAAAATCACTCAATTTACACTTTTGTAACAAAAAAATCACTCAATTAAACTTTTGTATCAATAAAATCACTTAACTAAATTTATCATTGAATTTTTTTTGATATCACAAAATAGTATTTTTTATGACAAGTATACATTAATGGAGTTTAATTATTATGCATTTAATTAAGCAACAAATAAAGGGCTCCTGAGTTGGACATATATCACTGGTAAAGTGTTGATTATGTGTGTTAATCCTATTAAATTAAGCGAATACATAAATAATTATGGCAGTCATGTCTCATTTGCCGTGGAAGTTTTGTAATTAAACTTCATTAATAAATGTATACATGGCATATAAAATAACTACGAAAAGGAAAAAAAAAATCATGTGTAAAGCGCTGACTAATTTGTTTATCAAACTTCTCAATATTCACTGCTAGGTTAGGTTTAAGACTTTAAATTATAACCAACAAATAAGGGCTCCTGGGTGGGATATATCACGGATAAAATGTTGGTTTACTGTGTTAATCCTATTAAATTAATAATTAAGGCTGTCACGTCACAATTCCAAAAGTTTTATTCTTAAACTTAATTAATATATATATGGCATAAAAATAATTTATTTTATTAGATCAAAATAATTTTAATGATAAATTTAGTTAAATGATTTTATTGACATAAAGGTTAAAATTGAGTAATTTTATTGATACAAAATAAAGTTTGATGACTTTATTAGATAAATTCTCAAAGTTGAGTGACCTTTAAGATATTAATTCCAAAAAAATTGATCTAATATATATAGTGTATATTTTTTACCGAGACGAATGTACATATTTTCATTTTTTTACCATTGAGCTACTCCTTTGACGTATGCTCAGAAATTCAAGAGGCTTGTTGACAAGCACACTCTTATAAATGCCTCTTGGCTTTTAAGGAGTATTTATGTCATTTCATATTAGAATAAAACAATATAATTGGACCTAAGAAAATCTTACTATAACAACTATGTATACTTTTTGTGTGTGTGGACTAAAGTGTCCTCTGAATATGTCACGTCCCCAACCATCCCCCACTATTTCTTCCTTTTATGTATTGAGAATTTAACCTTGTCTTTTATCAAGATAAAAAATAAAAATAAAAATAATTTGTTTATAAAATTTCAACAAATTTTTAGAAATGATTAATTATTATTATTATTCAATATTAATAAGTGGCTAAAAGCAATACTTTCGAAATTTTTTCTGTGTTACTTTATTTGTCTTATTTCATTTTTTTTATATATATATTTGATAATTTCATAAAAATGACTATAAATCAAAATAATAACAATTTAAAATATAAAATAATTTATTTTCTTGGTTGACTCTAGAATTTTTATTTGTGCCACGTAAATTGGGACAAAGGGAGTAACATATACATGTGAATAATGCATAAGGAATATTATAAATCATAAAATATCTAAAAAAGAATTTTTTTTTTTTGGGTGATTCTGGAAATTCCGTCTATGCAGCATAAATTGAGAAAAATGGAGTAATTTATATTATGTAAAGTCACGTAGAAAGTATAATAAATTACAATAATTAATAACTTAAAATCTTTTTAAAAGTATAAATTTTTGGATAACTCCCAATTACATTTGCATCACATTAATTAAAACGAAAAGGAATATATATTAGGCCCATGCTAGGATAGGACGGGCACTTACCTTAAGTGCCAATTTGCACCATCATGTGCACGCCGACAAAATAAATTTGAACAATCATGTGTAGTAAATTTGAACAAACTCCAACCTCTCAAATGAAAGTAAAAAAAAAAAGCCGTCAGCGAAAAAATTGAAGGTCTCCAAGAAGATATAATCCATAGAAATTGAAAGAAGTAAGTATAGTCAGGAAATTACATTGGAAGCAAAATTTATATTAAAAGTAGAAATCACACCAAAAGATTTTATACCTAAAAGTAGAAATCACCGTGAAAGTGAAAGTAATTGAACAATGAACAATTCACAGTGTGAAAGCAATCGCTCCCAATTTTTTTTTACTTTCGTTTGAGATGTCGAGTCGGTCTGGAGTTTGTTTTGCCATGATTGTTCAAATTTATTTTGTCGGCATGTGCAAATTGGCACGATCCGCTTCTTTCTCTGTTTTTGTTCTTGTTGTGCATTTTACTTTACTTATTTAACATAAATAAAGAGATAAAATATTTCAAATGATCTCATATAAATATACTTGTCAGATTTTTAACTCATCCAACTAATAAAATATGCGAAAATTAAGATATGATAATTGTGTCATATCTCATCTTATATTTTATTCTGTAGTTGGCACGGAAAATCATTTTAATATAAATAATAAGATTAATTATTTTATTAAAATAATAAAAGGTGAAAAAAACATAATCATATATTTATCTAACTCATCTCACTAATAAAAATATGTCAGAATCAAGTTAGGATAAAATTTATACGTGTCCGTGACTTAATGGTGCAGAACTCACCTGTCCCTTTAGTAATTGATTCCGCGCTGATAGCCACTAATTATCAACAAGTATATTTTTGTATCTATTGAATCATAACAAGATCTGTTCCAAGAGGTTAGACTGAAAGAAGAATTTGAACAAGGAAGAAAGAAAATGGAAAACAACCCAGAAAAAGAAGAGTTTTTACTGAATCACTCACAAAATTCAACAAAGGGAGGTTTAAAAACCATTCCTTTCATCATAGGTATGTGTAATAATTTCTCTGTTTTTTTTTTTACTCTTTCTTTGTAAATTGTTTAATTGATTCCTCGTGTTGGTATTGTAGTGAATGAATCATGTGAGAAAGTGGCAAGTTTTGGGTTGCAACCAAATATGATAATCTACATAACAAAATTTTACAATATGGATGCTGCTCGTGCTTCAGTTTTGATTAGTTTATGGTCAGCAATTTCAAATGTATTGTCTATTTTGGGAGCTTTTATTTCTGATTCTTACATTGGAAGGTTTAGGGCTGTGGCTATTGGAACCATCTCTAGTCTAATTGTAAGTTCACTTTATTACCTATATTCTTGTTTTCAATTTGTCCTGTTTAGCTTTGCTATTTAAATGTTCTAAAGATAAAAAACTTGACATACTTAAAACTCTATTGTGTTATAATCACCCATCGGTTGCTCATTAGCGATAGGGATGACAATGAGGCAAATTTTTTAATCTGCCCCGCTCCGCCCAGCATAACAACTTTTTCATTTGAACTCGCCCCACCCTGCCCTGCATAATTTTTTTTTTATTTTTTTTCTAGTTAAGTTTGATATTAAAAATAAATTTATTTTTCAATAAGTTGTATTAATTTAATAGATAATAACTTAAAATTCTAGTTTTTAGAGGTCAATTGAGGAACTTGTAAGAAATTGTATTATTTTTTATTGAATCATTTTCATTTACTATCTTGAATATTTAAGTAGCTTTAAATAAATTATTTTAATAAATAATGTTCCATTACTCTTATAACATGTAAAAATAAAATTAGAATTAAGTTTGAATCAGCCTAAAATCACATATACGTGCGCCCCGCCCTGCCCCTCCCCACATAAATTTTAAGAAAACCAACTTCAACCCACCCCGCACAAGCTTAAACTCACCCGCATCCGCCCCATCTCCATCCCTAATTAGCGATGGCAAATGAAAGACTTTGCTAGGCCCAGCATAGCTTCAATATTCTTCTGCTTCCATTTAAGCCATATAATTTTGGATTTGGATCTTCCTTGTTTCTCTATTTAAGTCATATAATCTGGTCGGGGTACATTACACAACTACCACTTTTACCCTAGTTCTTATACTTGCTCCATCCATTTGATTGCAAGCAAACCGGCATCCCTAGCTAGGATTTCTTAAGAATGTTTTCAAGCAGATTATTCCTTGTTTAGTTGTAGAGGTTTATTCCTTTTCTTTCAACAGGGAATGCTTGTTCTTTGGCTCACAACAATATTTCCACAACTCAGGCCGTTACCCTGCGGTCAGTATCAACATGATTGTAATGGAACAACAGCAGCTCAACTTGCTGCAATTTTGTTTTCTTTTGGGCTTATTTCCATTGGTGCTGGTTTTGTTAGACCTTGTTCCTTAGCATTGGGTGCCGACCAATTGGAGAACAAAGAAAATCTAGATAACGAGAGGCTTATCGATAGCTATTTCAACTGGTTCTATGCCAGTGAAGGAGTTTCAGTTCTTCTTGCAGTTACTGTAATTGTTTATATCCAAGATCATTTTGGTTGGCAAGTTGGGTTTGGTGTCCCTGCTTTGCTCATGGTTTTATCTCTTTCTGTTTTCTTGATCGGATCTCCTCATTATATCAAAGTAATACCTCAAGGGAGTTTGTTTACTGGATTGTTTCAAGTACCAGTCGCAGCCTTCAGAAAAAGACACATCAATGTTCAGTTGAATTATAGTGATGACTGCTACTATAAAGCACCTCAATCAAAGCTCCTTGAACCATCCACTGACTTCAGGTATACGCGCTTCTATATTTTCCTCAATGGTATAGACATCTTCAACATCCATTCATGTTCGTTTACCCATCTTATACTTGTTTTCGTTTGATGTATAATAAATGGAATGATGATTCATTGTATATTATATTATAGGTGTTTGAATAGAGCTTGCATAATTGAAGATCCTCACATGGAGTTGAAACCTGATGGAAAAGCTTCAGATCCATGGAGTCTCTGCTCTGTCGAACAAGTCAAAATAATGAAGTGTTTTCTTACCGTTCTTCCCATGTGGTCCACCTGTATTATGCTTCTTGTGTCGTTGAGTCAGCCACTTTCGATATATCAACTACTGACCGTGGATAGACACATTACCCCTCAGTTTGAAATCCCAGCAGGATCATTTGGCATGATTACCCTTCTTTCTTTGACAATCTGGTTTGCTTTTTACGATCGTGCATTGGTGCCTTTACTGTCAAGGTATACTGGACTGCCGACTGGGATAAGTCCATTTTCCAAAATGGGGATTGGCTTAATTGTGGGCATTGTGGCTACGGTACTTTCAGCTATTACAGAAACCATACGACGCAATAAGGCAATCAATGCAGGGTTTGAGGATGACCCGAATGCTGTGTTAAACATGTCCTCTATGTGGTTTGTTCCACAGTTGGCACTATATGGGGTGGCTGAGGCTTTGAATGTGGTTGGACAGATTGAGTTCATATACAGTCAATTTCCAAAAACCATGTCCAGTTTTGCAGCAGCTCTTTACACGTTTGGCCTTGCGCTTGCCAACTTAATTAACAGTCTCTTGGTGAGCGTGGTGGATAGTATTACCTCAACCGGAGGCAAGACAAGCTGGCTCGCAACCAACATAAACAGAGGTCATCTAGATTACTACTGCTGGCTAATGACTTCATTATGTGTGATTAACTTCCTCTATTTTTTAGCCGTTTGTCAGTTTACTGATCAGCATCACCATGATGGTAGGAGTAGCTTATTTCCTGAGGCAGAAGAGGAACACACCGCGAATAAGCGTTTCCATGGTGCTTAATTGTAACAATCAAGTGTGTACGCTATTAAATGTTTGGTTAGATTAAATGTATTCAAAATTAACTTGTTTTCCTCAAATTTAAGGAAAATGACTTCCATTCAAAAATTAAGGAAAACATTTTCCAAAACTCTACTTCATTGTTAAATATTTTTTTTCTTAAAAACTTTCTCAGGACCTCCATAATAAGTTGGAGAACCATCACGTATACTCACACCATTTTTTAACGCATATTTTCGCATTTGCAGGCCATCTTTTAGGAATTATCAAAATTTCTTGATTTTTCGTGTGTATTAACCCATGGATGTGGCTCCCCGGAGCACCTAAAATTTTCCTGAATTCTTTTTATGAGGAACTGTCTAATGAGTTGGGGAACCATTATGTATACTCACAACATTTTTTTAACACATATTTTTGTATCTATATGCCATTTTTAGAAGTTATCCAAATTTCTCGATTTTTCGTATGTATTAGTCCATAGATCTGATTTCCCAGGGCAACCAAAAAAAATTTCTGAAAAAACTTATTAAGGAACTCTGTAATGAGTTGGTAAACCATCACACATACTCACACAATTATATAACGCATGTTTTTGCATACATAGACTATTTTTTAGGAATTACCCAAATTTCTCAGTTTTTCATGTGTATTAGTCCATGGATCTAGCTCCTCGGAGCACCCAATTTTTTTTCCAGAAAAAACTTTATGAGAACCTTCGTAATGAGTTGGGGAACCATCACGCCTACTCACACCATTTTTTACAAATATATTTCCATAGTTACATGCCATTTTTTAGAAATTACCCAAATTTCACAGTTTTTCGTGTGTATGCCAATGGATATGACTCCATAAAGCAACCAAAACTTTTTTTCTTAAAAACTTTATAAGAACCTCCGTAATGAGTTGGGGAACCATCACGTATAGTCACATCATTTTTACGTATATTTTTGAATTTACATGTCATTTTCAGGAATTACCCAAATTTCTTGATTTTTCATGTGTATTAGCCCATTGATTTGGCTCCCAAGAGCACCCACTAAAATTTTTTGAAAAAACTTTATGAGGACCTCCGTAATGAGTTGGGGAACCATCACATATACTCACACAATTTTTTTAACGCATATTTTCACATTTACATGCCATTGTTTAGAAATTACCAAAATTTCTTAGTTTTTTGTGTATATTAGCCCATGGATCTAACTCCCCGGAGCACCCAATTTTTTTTTCTTAAAGAACTTTATGAAGACCTCCGTAATAAGTTGGGGAACCATCACGTATACTCACATCATTTTTGAACGCATATATTCGCATTTACAGGTTATATTTTAGGAATTATCCAAATTCTTTGGTTTTTCATGTGTATTAGCCCATGAATATGGTTCTCCGGAGCACCCAAAAATTTTGTCTGAAAAAACTTTATGATGACCTCCATAATGAGTCGAGGGATCATCACGTATACTAACACCATTTTTAACACATATTTTTGCATTTACAGGTCAATTTTTAGGAATTATCCAAATTTCTTGATTTTTCGTGTGTATTAGCCCATGGATGTAGCTCCCTAGAGCACCTAATTTGTTTTCCATAAAAAACTTTATGAGGACCTCCTTAATGAGTTGGGGAACCATCACGTATACTCACATCATTTTTAACGCATATTTTCGCATTTACAAGTTTTTTTTCTTTAACTACTCAAATTTTTTGGTTTTTCGTGTGTAGTAGCCCATGAATCTCGCTCTTCGGAGCACCCTAAATATTTTTCTTAAAAAACTTTACGAGGACCTCCGTAAATTAGTTGGGGAACCATCACGTATACTCACACAATTTTTAACGCATATTTCGCATTTACAAGTAATTTTTAAGGAATTACCCATATTCATCGGTTTTTCATGTGTATTAGCCCATGGATCTGGCTCTTCGGAGCACCCAAAATTATTTTCTGAAAAAAATTTATGAGGACCTTCGTAATGAGTTGGGAGACCATCACGTATACTCACACCATTTCTTAACATATATTTTCTCATTTACAGGTAATTCTTTTAGAAATTACCAAAATTTCTTAGTTTTCGTGTGTATTAGCCTATGGATATGGCTCTTTGGAGCACTAATTTTTTTTCCTGAATAAACTTTATGAGGACCTTAGTAACAAGTTGGGGAACCATCACGTATACTTACATCATTTTTGTTACACATATTGTCGTATTTACATCTAACTTTTTAGGAATTATTCAAATTTCTCGATTTTTTATATGTATTAACACATAGATCTGACTCTTTGAAGCACCAAAAAAAATTTTGATTTTTTTAATAATGACCTCAGTAATGAGTTGGGGAATATCACATATAATCACACTAATTTTAACGCATATTTTTTGTATTTACGTGTCATTTTTTAGGAGCTATTGCTGAATTCCTCAATTTTTGTGTGTATTACCTCATTGATCTGGCTCTCCAGAGATCCCAAATTTTTTCTGAAAAAAACTTTATGATGACTTCTGTAATGAGTTGGGGAACCATCACGTACTCATACCATTGATCTGGCTCTTCGAAGCACCCTAAATATTTTTCTTAAAAAACTTTATGAGGACCTCTGTAAATCAGTTGGGGAATCATCATATATACTCATACTATTTTTAACGCATATTTTCGCATTTAGAAGTAATTTCTAAGGAATTATCCAAATTTCTCAGTTTTTCGTGTGTATTAACCCATGAATCTGGCACCCTGGAGCACCCAAAAAAAATTTCTGAAAATTTTTATGAGGACCTCCGTAATGATTTGTGGAACCATCACGTATACTCATACAATTTTTTACGCATATTTTTGCATTTACAAGCCATTTTATAGGAATTACCCAAATTTCTCTTTTTTTTCGTGTATAGCCCATGGATATGGCTCCTCGGAGCCACCAAATTTTTTTTCTAAATTTTTTTTATGAGGATCTACGAAATGAGTTTGGGAACCATAACATATACTTACATTATTTTTAATGCATATTTTTGTATTTACATGCCATTTTTTAGGAATTACCCAAATTCCTCAATTTTTCGTGTGTATAATTATCCCATGTATCTTGTTCTCCGGAGCACTCAAATAAAAAAACTTTATAAGGATATCCACAATGAGTTGGGGAATCATCACGTATATTCAACCCATTTTTAACGCATATTTTTGCATTTACATGCCATTTTTTAGGAATTACTCAAATTCCTCAATTTTTTTTGTGTATTAGCCTACCTAGATTTTTTTTCCTGAAAAAACTTTATGACCTCCGTAATGAGTTGGAGAACCACCACATAAACTCACATAATTTTTTAACACATATTTTCGCATTTATAGGCTATTTTTTAGAAATTCTCCAAATTCCTCAATTTTTCGTGTGTATTACCCCATAGATCTGGCTCATCGAAGCTCCCAAAGTTTTTTTCTGAAGAAACATTATGAGGACCTCCGTAATGAGTAGGGAAACCATCATGTATCCTCACTTCATTTTTAACGTATATTTTCACATTTATATGCCATTTTTTAGGAATTACCTGAATTCCTCAGTTTTTCTTGTGTATTAGTCAATGGATCTGGCTATTCGGAGTAGCCAAAAAAAATTCTGAATTTTTTTTATGGGGATATCTGTAATGAGTTTGAGAACCATAACGTACACTTACATTATTTTTAAGACATATTTTTCTATTTACTTACCATTTTTTAAGAATTACCCAAATTTATCGATTTTTCGTGTGTATTAGATATGGCTGGCAACGGAACCGGAACCGAGACGATCGATCCGGGACGGACCGGAACCGGAACGAAACCGGTAATTCCGGGAAAAATATGGCATACCTGTCCTGGACCGGACCGGAAATCGGGTCCCAACGGATATAATTTTTTTTAAAAAAATTTATTAAAATTAAAAAATTAGGAACATTAATCAAATAATATTAAAACTTTTATAATTTTAAAGTTAAAAATTTATACTTTTAAAGTTTTAAATACAAACTTTCAAACTTTAAAAGTATAGAAATTTAAATTTCACACTTTAAAAGTTTGAAAATTTAAATATTTAAATTCAAACTTTAAAACTATAAAAGTTTAAATTTCACACTTAAAAAGTTTGAAATTTAAATTCAAACTTTAAAACTATAAAAGTTTAAATTTCACACTTAAAAAGTTTGAAATTTAAATTCAAACTTTAAAACTATAAAAGTTTAAATTTCACACTTAAAAAGTTTGAAATTTAAATTCAAACTTTAAAACTATAAAAGTTTAAATTTCACACTTAAAAAGTTTGAAATTTAAATTCAAACTTTAAAACTATAAAAGTTTAAATTTCACACTTAAAAAGTTTGAAATTTAAATTCAAACTTTAAAACTATAAAAGTTTAAATTTCACACTTAAAAAGTTTGAAATTTAAATTCAAACTTTAAAACTATAAAAGTTTAAATTTCACACTTAAAAAGTTTGAAATTTAAATTCAAACTTTAAAACTATAAAAGTTTAAATTTCACCTTTTAAAAGTTTGAAAATTTAAATTCAAATTTCAAACTTTAAAACTATAAAAGTTTAAATTTCACCCTTTAAAAGTTTAAAAATTGAAATTCAAACTTTAAAACTATAAAAATTTATGAGGAGCTCCGAAATTTTTTCGTGTATATTAGCCCATATATCTAGTTCTCTGGAGCACCCATAATTTTTTTCTGAAAAAACATTTTGAAGACTTTCGTAATGAGTAGGGAAACCATTACATATACTCAAACCATTTTTAACACATATTTTTGTATTTACATGCCAATTTTTAAAAATTACACAATTTTTTTGATTTTTCTTATGTATTAGCCCATGGATCTGGCTCCTAAGAGCACCCACTAATTTTTTCTAGAAAAACCTTAATGAGGACCTCCGTAATGAGTTGGAGAACCATCACGTATGCTCACATCATTTTAAACGCATATTTTCGCATTTACATGCTATTTATTAGGAATTACGTAAATTTCTTAGTTTTTCGTGTGTATTAGCTCATGGATCTGGCTCCTCGGAGCACCCAAATTTTTTTCTAAAAAAACTTTATGA